AATTTTTCATGAGTTTGAGATTTTAATTTTTTAATAAACAAAACATATAAGGTACATAATGCCAATTTTTAAACCCGTGAATGGTGAAAAGTTGCAAAAAAATTGCTACAATAGGTAAAGGTGCCATCCATATCCATTTGAGACATTTTACACCTTCGGCGAATATTTTGTTTACGTGAACAAACTAAAATATGTTTCTTCTACAGTATTTAAAAACAAAAGTCTTCGCCTCTGCACATTGTGGGTTTATAATTAGTTTTTTGTCATTACAATCTCATTATGAATTTGTATCCTGTTATTATATTTTAAAAGCTCTTGTTTTTACTATAACTTATATTTATTGAAAATTTAATTTAAATACGGCAGTATTTATCATAAAATACAATTATATACGGATCAACAATGGGATCTTGACAATCTTTGCTTCTACCCTCTTAGGTAGAAACCCTTTTCTTTGGTGGCAAGGATACCTGTGCAATTTAAAATCCTAAATACAATATTAATATTGGTGGTACAATTACCTCCGCCGAAATTAATAATAATAGTAAGGGGGTGAGCTGGCTCAGTGGTTAAAGTCTTGGCTTAGAGGTCGAAGGGTCTCAGGTTCGAACCCCGCCGGTGGTAGGAACACAGTTTAAAGAATTTATATATATTCTTTAAACTATGGTAGAGACTTTCAATTTATTAAATTAAATATTAATTCTAATGCGTAGGTAGGATTCCCCACTCGACCATTTACTGTTGGGTCCTAATTAACAGTGCTGTTCCTAAAGTGACGGTGGGAAACAGTAAGAAAACCTACACAGAACATGCTGCTAATAACCTAAGTAGCTGATGCCGATGACACGAAATAATAATTTATTTACCAAAAGTAATATAAAAACAATATACATATATGTATATGTTAGATTATATTAATGTCAAATAATTATTTAGTTACCAAGTGATTACCGATAGAACACAATGCGTGAGAATCAGCCGCCAACAGCCACAGCTGACCACAATAGACACTCAACGCGACTCAAATATTCTGCCTGGTGAAGTGTCGGCGGTACTTTGCTACCGCAACAGTTCCCCGCTCTTGACCGATGTTCTCTACATTATACTACAATAATTAGTAATTACACAAAAATTTGTTTACCTGCTAACATATATGAATGTAAATTTGTTCGAGGTAAATAATCCGAAATACCCACTAAAAGAAACCTGGGTTATTTAGGACAAGCAGTCTTAATAAAATACAATATTATATATAAAAAAAGAAAAATTATATAAAAATAATATTCGGAATAATATAAAAAACATTACTTAGGTAATATAACTAGTTTAAAGTTAATATTAATATTGATCTTTACATTATCTAAATCTATTTTTAAACTGCAAAAAAGAGCAATCCGCTATGTATTTGGTTTAAGTAGTAGGACACATTGCGAAAATTACTTCAAAAATTTCAAAATTCTAACCCTTCCTGCTCTATTTATTTTCGAATCCGTCTGCTTAGTTCGCAAGCACATTCAAAATTTATCCGAAAGACCGACTCGTAGATATCCTACAAGAAATTTAGAGACTGATGTTTATTTAACAATGCCCACTTCTGACCTATTAAAACATTCCATTACCTACAATGCCAAAAAATTGTATAATAACCTTCCGATGCAATTAAAATCTATAAATACATACGATAAGTTCCGAAGACTGGCTAAAGCTTTTCTTCTAGAAAGACCATATTACACAGTAGCAGAATTTTATAACGTACCTTAGACATTTGAGTTCCACATACAATGGCATTAATTAAATAATTAAATATTAAAGTTTAAATTTAAAAATTAAATTAGAATAATTATAATGACGGATATTGCATATCCATTGCAATTGTTATTCCTATTTTGTCTGTTTGTTTCTGTTTGTTTTTTCTGCTGTTTAGTTATTTTTATAATATGTTTAGTATTTAAGTTACACACTTTGTCTATAAAATTTTTGTAAATTTTTTTACGACAATAAAGCATATCTCTCTCTCTCTCTCTTATCAACTATTTTTTCTTAAACAAATTAGACATTCGTTATTTGTGAAAATAAAACATTGCAGGTTCGCAGTAAGGATGGAACATACCTATCCATTTTTTTTTATTTGAATAAATTTGGGGATTGAATGTTCTTTAATTCTAAAGGTATTTTATTATATAATTTCGAGCTCAGGTAAGAATAACTTTTTCCCCTATAGTTTTTTTGGCTTTCGGTACATTATTTAATTTATTATTTAATTTATATCGAGTTGCGTGGTTATGTTTTACTAGTAGTAAAATGTGGTTTGTCGTAATAATCATTTTCAACATGTTCTCAAAAAATTATGCCCAAATGTTACTGTTTAAAAATATATCTTGCAACAACGCGTGAATGATAATGCATTTATGAATGTAAAGTTACTAAGTTATCATATTTGGTCATGATTATTCATATTTGCAAAAATTTTTATTTTAAGGCAGTAGTAGAATTTGTGAATCTTTTTCAATTATGGACTTTTGAAAAAAAAATATATTTATGTTCTTATTTTCTTTTGACCACCCCAACGCGTCTGTAAAATAGTGTGCAGAGATTTAATAACACCCTGTATACTGAGACATATTTTGACCGTAGGCTGTTACGGAAAAATAAACTTAGGAATAATAGTTTTCAAAACATTCCGTGAGGTGATGCCATTATCAGATTGTATAGCTAGAAGAATGAGTTCTATAAGATTATTGATTTCCACGATTAACAACGAGGGGCGTATAATACCTAAAGATTAAGTTTTACCGTAACAAGATTGTTTCCTAATAAAAGTTAATTCATTATGTCCATTTAGTGCGTATTTCTCCAAAAAATGTATACTTTAAAAATGTATTATGCTCTAAAAGATACGGATAACTCAGTGAATAGTATTATAATTTGTTAATCGCTCCTTTTGTTTCAGTTTTTCCAATCATTATCGTGCCTGGCGTTCAATATATTTTTCGTTATTTGTGACCTATACACTGACGCTACGAAAATTTCCGCCTTCCATTCTATATCGCTGCAATTCATAATATTTGTAAATTAGAGAATATTTTTATGCTTTTATCAGCAGTTTCTGTTTTAAAAGTATTCTTCTTCTGTTAGTTTTTTGGCCTCCACAAATGACAAACCGTATATTATAAGAATGGAAAAATGAAAGTAATCTAAATTTATAATAATAAACTGGTGTTCTGATTTAAAAAAAAAACATATGATTGGTTCGTACCTGAGCCAAGCAACGCCCTTTATAACTCTATGTTTGTTACTACATTTTTTTAATATCTCTTACAACAAGGAAAATATCAAACTTCTCCGCAAGATTGATACACCCTGTATATGAAGTGCTTTTCAATAATAACCCCTTCCCCTGTAGACGAAGCCACGAGCCGCCACTTTCCGCAGCCAAGATGAAATATGTTGATCCCGAAACGATCATTTTTCAATATTCAGTTTTACGCTTTTGTCTAGCATTTTTTAAAAGGTCACAAAATAAGGATGTCCCACTGTAACGTATTCAATCCTAGAATATTTGTTTGTTACAGAGTAGCCAAGCAATTAATTTTTTGAAAATGGTGAATTTATGTAAAAATCGAAATTCGAAAAGTCAGAGAAATATCTGAAATAAGTGGCCGAATAATTTGAAAATTCTGAAACAAATCTCAAAAATTTCCCTACGAATTATTAAGACCATTAAGACTATAATTTCCATAGAATATATTTCGGAAAACACCTTTTATTCCAAGGAAGAAATATTAAAATGAAAATTTATTTTCTATAGAAGACATTTTACTTTCCAAGTCGGTAGAAATTTCGGTTTTTAAAGAAGTTATGTCAGACGAAACTAAGGAGGAAATATCTGAAGAATGAAGAAATGTCAGAAGAAATATCGGTTTTCATAGAAGACATTTTACTTTCCAAAGAAGAAATTATAGAAGCTGCATCATCAGAAAATAGATACGTTTCCGGATCCAAACCTTCACTTTCTAGTGCTTCTTTAAGCCTCTCTGCCAGTTCTGCTTTCTTCCCTGTCGTCTCCAACTCGCGATCTTCTAATTCCCGACGTAACTCGGTCACTTTTAAATCACAGTCTTTTAGCCAGTTTAATCACTATTTATTTACACTATCCCACTTCTGACACCAATGTTACGTTGGTTTATTTTAAACAACAGTTTATTTGTTAATAATTTATTTGAACACCTATTTATTTTATAACAATACTATTCTAATTTATATATATTTAGAATGTCTTTGAATTGTTCACTATTTATCTTCACAACTGTTTTTATACGACTAACTACTCCGTGTTCCTCCACCAATATTTATAATATACACATTTAAAATTCTGGTGAAGGTTCTAAAATGTTCTCGCCAAAACTAGTAACATTAACGTTCAATCTGGAATGTACTCGAAAGCGCCTTCGCCATAGTCGTCACATATGTTTGGTCTTAAGGGATTTAATTATGTATGATAATCGGAAAAGTTGAGCCTCAAAGGCCAAATAAGACAGAGGGGGACTTGGAAGATTAGAGCATGAGTGAATAATGAAATGGCTCGCATTACATTATTATTAAGGTAGATTAGCAATTATTTTATTCAACAGAAAAAAAAATAGGTAATAAGTTTAGCAACTTTAAATTTCTTTGGCTGGATTTAATGTGACGATTCCGTGCAGAACACGAAATATCGTCTGAAACGGCATCAATTTAAGTTTTCCGGACTAATTGCTGATGGCTGGGAGGAGTTGCGAATTTGCGTGAATTTTCTGGGTTTGCCGGGTCGAAGGATTTATGGCGTAAGAAAATTTTAGGTCTGCGACAGTGCAGACAAACTTTTAATTCGCAATATGTCAATATTTATTAACAAAGGGTAAAAAAAATAATAGGAGAGGACACTATAATAGTTTTAATCAATCACCCATTTTTCTTAAATATACTTTACATATCTTTAAATCTTTGAATTTCCTTTTCAGGAATGGTATAAAGAACTGCAGCAAATAGCACCTAGCGCCTCCAAGGACAAATTAGAAAAAATACTTTCTTGCGCTTTCGCACTACTTAGCAAAGAAAGTTCAACTTTAGGTCTACCTGATTTTCCCGTCGATAATCTACCTCTAGCAGCATTAATTTTGGTTTGTACAAAAAATTTAACTCGTCCACAAACAATAAAACATTTTTTTTTAGGAACAAAACCCTCATTTAACCCCCTACGAAATAATATACCGTCTATACCCTTACAAAACATTCCTAAAAGATGGCGTCCAAAACTTAGAAGATCTCCTAACTAAACTAGAAGTACCTCCTATACAAGACGAAGATTTAAACACGAATTTTTTGAAAAAAATACCGAAGATATTTAAATCTACCTCATCAACCTCGAAATACGATTCATACATCGAAACAACGTACCAAAACAACCTCTTGGACAACATCCTTCAAACTGTCAAAGTGGCAGACGTGTGTCTCGTCGGACCGAGCGGTTGCGGTAAAAGTATGATAGTCAACAAAGTAGCCGAAACGTTGGGAAGAGATGTCGAAAATATCGTTTTGTATCAAGATATGACGTCTAGAGATTTAATTCAGCAAAGGACCACTTTGGACAACGGCGATACCATGTGGAAATTTTCTCCGTTAATAGAAGCTGCTCTTGAAGGAAAAATCGCTGTTTTGGATGGTATCAACAGGATTCACCCTAGTACTTTAACAGTATTACATAGGTAAAAGCCAAAACATATATATTCTATTCGATGTTAAGACTGCTTTAGACTACACAATATCTTGTACAAGAATTGGTAAAATTTCTTGTACAATTTTTGAAACAAGAAATTTAATGTTATGAAATATTTTGTGTATTATACTATAAAAAATATTGTACAATATTTAGAGCAAGACTTTGCGCAATAATTAAAACTTGTGTCTCTGTCACTGTCAAGGATGTCAAGTACTGTGAAACTAAAATCGGTAAAATCCATGGCTAAAACCTTAAATATTTGTTTCTCGTCTTAAAATGGATAATTTAGAACAAATTTTCTTCATATCCTTCACAAATTTGTCAGCATATATCGCAGTACCATGTTTTTGTTCAAAATCCGCAATGCGACTCGCTTTAAGCAATCTATATAACTATTTATATCATTGACCCTGTCATTTACATTGCTGAGTACCAATTTGGAACTTTCGTTGAAAAAGGCTAAATGTTTAAAGTCCTTTCAGCAATATAAAAACATTAAACAAACAAATTTCCAATTGCACTAAATAATGTAAACAATTATTTTGATCATGTGTATCCTGTCAATATGCAGGCACCGAGCCTATAAATTGTTTCAAAATAGAACACGTTCTAATTTTCCAGACTATATATTATCCAATATGATTTTTCAAACAATTTACTGTATGATACTATACAATTTAAATTGTACAAGAAATTGTATCAAATCTTGTACAAGAAATTTTGTAGTCTAAAGCAGTATTTATAATGTCAAGAAAATGACAAATATCATTCAACTGTCATTCTATATTTCAATTTTCATTTGATATTTCAATTGTCATTCCATATTTCAATTGTCATTTCATATTTCAATTGTCATTTCATATTTCAATTGTTATTCCATATTTCAGTTGTCATTACATCAATCTTTAATTTCATTCAAACGTCAAGGATTACATATTTGGAGATTTGATTTAAAAATTTACCTCTTAGATTGGTACAAGACAGAGAACTTCAATTGCACGACGGCAAACGACTTGTCAACAGCGAAAGGTACAAATTTTTGCAAGAACACTTTAATTTAACTAAAATACAGTTAAGCGAGAGTGATGTATTCGAAATACATCCGGATTTTAGAATAATAGCGACGGGGGAACCACCCAACGCGCAATCCAATCAAACAGGAAATTGGTTGTCTTCCGAAGTTTTGAGTCTTTTCGTTTTTCACGAAATGAGGACTCTGAGTAAAGGCGAAGAAATACACGTGGTTAATTCTAAAGTAAGCGAACCATTTTATTTTGTTTAGCACATTTTACCTTTTTTTAGAACATTTTATATATTTTATCATTTTTGTTCAGCTCAATTTCGAAAATGTTAATAATAGACTTCTCGAAACTATTTTTCTATTTGGAACATTTTATTTGACACTTTTAATTTTATTTAGTACATTTTATTATTTAACACACTACCTTTCTTAGAACGTTACAAAAATATTTTATCATTTAATTTAGTCTTTCTCAATTTTGAAACCGTTACAAGAGAGATAATAGATCACACAAAACTATTTTTCAATTTAGAACATTTTATTTAGCTCTTTTTATTTTATTTAAAACCATTTATTTTATTTCTTAGAACATTTTATTTTATTTAACAAAATACCTTTTTAGAACGTTATAAAATATATTTTATCATTTTAGTCCGGCACAATTTTGAAACCATTACAAAAGTTAATAGACTTCGGCGAACCATTTTTCTATTTGGAACATTTTATTTGACACTTTTTATTTTATTTAGTACGTTTTATTATTTAACACACTAACTTTTTAGAACGTTACAAAAATATTTTATCATTTTAGTCTGGCTCAATTTTGAATCCGTTACAAAATATAATAGACCTATTTTTCTATTTAGAATATTTTATTTAGCACATTTTATTTAGATCATTTTACCGTTTTTTAGAATATTTTATCATTTTAGTCCGGCTCATTTTCGAAACCATTACAAGAGAGATAATAGATATCGCAAAACTATTTTTCAATTAGAACATTTTATTTAGTACTTTTTATTTTATTTAGCATATTTTATTTCTTAGAACATTTTGTTTGTCACATTACCTTTTTAGAACGTTATAAAATATATTTTATCATTTTAGTCCGACACAATTTTGAAACCATTACAAAAGTTCATAGACTTCGCGAACTATTTTTCACATTAAAACATTTTATTGGAAATATTTTACTTTATTTAGAATTTTATTTTGTTTAGAACATTTTATTTAGCACTTTTTATTTTATTTAGAACGCTTTATTTTATTTACCACCTTTTATTCCTTAGAACATTTTATTTTATTTAATTACCTTTTTAGAACGTTATAAAATATATTTTATCATTTTAGTCCGGCTCAATTTTAAAACCATTACAAAAGATCATAGACTTTGCGAAACTATTTTCCTATTTAAACTCTATTTAGCACATTTTATTTTATTTAGAACATTTTATTTTACACGTTTTAGCTTTATTTATTTTATTTTAGACCGGATCAATTTCGAAACCGTTACAAAAGATAATAGATCTCGCGCACATCCTACGAAACAGCCCAGACCCAGCTTTAAAAAACCTTTCCGGCCATCTATCGACTAGAAGAATATTAAGGATCGCAAAGAGAATAAAAAAATACCCGGAAGACATTTACAACATCATGGAAGAAACGTTCATGATAAAATTCTTACCATCCCTCACCAAACAAGCCCTCGAAAAAACGATGGAAAACATCGGTATAGTTCGTACGCAAACGGATGAGAATAGGATAAGATGCGAAATTAAAGATGGCCGTTTAACTATAGGAAACACCACTACCGACGTTTCTAAAATTGATAATCTCACTAAAGTTCCCGATACGCTATTCTACGACGTACCTCAACATCTTGCTTTAATGGAAAAGTTGCTGCAAGATTTCGAATTGGGGTACCATTTGCTGCTGGTCGGTAACCAAGGTGTAGGAAAGAATAAAATAGTCGACAGATTTTTGCATCTGTTAAACAGATCTAGGGAATACATCCAGCTGCATAGGGATACGACGGTGCAGACATTAACAATCCAACCGACTATTAAAAACGGACTGTTAGTCCACGAGGATTCGCCTCTCGTTAAAGCCATAAAAAATGGACACGTGTTGGTTATCGATGAGGCTGATAAAGCGCCGACGCATGTCACTTGCATTCTCAAAACTTTAGTGGAATCGGGTCAGATGATCTTAAGCGACGGAAGACGGATAGTACCAACAGGATCAAAAATTAAAACTCCTGCAAACACGATTGAAACACATCCAGACTTCAGAATGATCGTTTTGGCTAATAGACCGGGATTTCCTTTTCTAGGGAACGATTTCTTTGGTGCTTTAGGAGATTTATTCAGCAGCCATTCCGTTGACAATCCGTGCAGAGATGCCGAGATAGATTTATTGAGACAGTACGGACCCGATGTCGACGTTAAGGTTATTAAGAAATTGGTCGGGATTTTCGGCGATTTAAGATCTTTAGCCGACAAAGGGCTCGTCAATTATCCTTATTCCACCAGGGAGGTCGTGAACATCGTCAAACATTTACAGGTAAGCATCTTATAAGGAAACCTTCGCAGTATAACATTTTGTTTTAAATTTTAGCAATTCCCAAACACGGATTTGGAGGATGTTATTTTTAACGTGTTCGATTTTGACAGATACAGCCCCGAAATGATAGAAACTATCGGTGAGGTTTTGGTGAAATACGGGTTTTCGGATAAAAATATGATCACAGCCGAGTACATAGCTGCTAAGCGCGCTAAAGAATACGTTCAACTCACAGTCAACAGGCATAGCGGGTAAGCACATACACTAATAGATCTCTAGAGTTTAGTGAATACCCGATTGTCACTAGTGCAGTTATATGATCTATGCGAAGGTTTTAAATGTGTGGCGCCCAACGTGAATTCTTAAATTTGTCAATAGAAAGTAAGGCGTTCTTATGGCGGAAACATTATTTATTAAAGACCTAGATTTTATATTAAAAGATAATACTTGACACACACTCTACATCTGACCAAAAAACATTTTTAGGCACTTTTTATTTTGTTTTCAAATGAAAGTTATAAACCACGGTATTATGAGTTTAAACTGTCAGTTTCCGTTTATATCTTATTATAATTGTAAATCTTCAGCAATCAAGTGCTATTGCCGCATTTTTCATCCCGACACCTGTTTTAGTCTAGACACAGAAGCACCAAAACATGGCAAAGAAGATCCAAAAAATGAACCGCACGTTGGGGGTAACACTTGGGCTGGTGGTACGGGTGGACGTGATACAGCCGGTCTTGGAGGTAAAGGAGGGCCGTATCGGTTAGATAAGGGGCACAAAGTACATCAAGTAACTACATACAAATTTACCAAAGTATATTCTTAGTAACTAAGATGTTTTGCAGCTTTCTGACGAAGAAAAGAATGCGGTACCAGAACACGTCCAGAGGGCGGCTAGGGAAATGGGTAGAAAGGCGTTTCAAGAGAAATTAAAGGAAATCGGGATGAGTGGGTACGACGCTTCCGTTTATTCCCAATTTTCTAACGCTGTTCAGTATCAGGTGCAATCGTTAAGGGTCATATTAGGAAATTTACAAGCCAAAATCAAGGAGAGGCAATGGTACAGGCATCAAACTTCTGGAGAATTAGATGATGTTAAATTAATAGATGGTAAGATACATTCTTCCACCAACTAATAGCTTTTCGTTAAAAAATATCGTATGCAGGTTTATTAGGTGAAAAAACAATCTTTAGGCGTCGGGCGGAACAAGAACCGGAATTGGGCACTCCCCAAACCAAACCCAAACTCTTCAGAGTAGTGGTGGACGTTTCCGGCAGTATGTATAGATTCAATTCGTATGATGGTCGTTTAGACAGAGAACTAGAAGCGGTTGTGTTAGTAATGGAGGCGTTCGAGGGATTTGAAGATAAAATCAAATACGACATCATCGGCCATTCGGGTGAAGAATACAATTTGACTTTCGTCAAACGGAATGACCCTCCCAAGGATAATATGGAGAGATTGAATATAATTAGGGTAAGTCCTTTTGATATGGGTACTTTCAATAGATAACCTATTTTATGCATTTCGTAGGTTATGCATGCGCACTCCCAATTTTGTTGGTCAGGCGATAACACTTTGGAATCCACGAATTGGGCAATCGAGACCATAGCGGAAGAAGATTGCGACGAGGCTATCGTAATTGTACTTTCGGACGCCAATTTGCAACGATACGGGATTCCCCCGGCCGAATTAGCTAAAGCGATGTCTTCCAAGCCCAATGTGAGCGCGTACGCGGTGTTTATAGGAAGTTTAGGAGACCAAGCCGAAAGGTGAGTGCAATTAACTTGTTTTATTCGTTCAAAATTGCATTACCGCGTTTTTAATATCTTTTTAGGTTGACGCAAAGATTGCCAGCCGGCAGAGCGTTTATATGCAACGATACTAGGGAGTTACCGCAAATTTTGAAGCAGATATTCTCTTCTTCAGTAGTCAATATTTAAATCAATTTTACTTACTATAAAGATGTATTTATTTTTATAAAATTATATATAATTTTATAACAAAAATAAAATGTAAATAAAAAATCGTTATTGTTTACAAATTTGTTTTTATGTCTTAGACAAATAGTCATTCTGCCAGTTTCACCTTTACAATATTAAATAAAGAAGATAAAAATGAAATTAAAAAAACTATATTCGCTCGCCCACTCAAGAGGTTAATAACCTCTAAATTAATTTCAAAAATTTGTATTTCGTTTGTGGGTCGTAAAAAAATATACTATGCAATCCGAGTGCATTGTCCGTATCGCACTGAGACGATTGAGTCTTTCGTCTACCGCGCCGTGCTTATATGTTGTCTTCATATACCTCTTGATACACTATTTTTGTTTCGTATTAAACTAGTGAAAATTCTGTCAAACTAATGGTTATTAGGATAAAATATAATTAAAAATGAGTGATTCTTATAAAGAACCGATAAATAATGGCGATCCACTAGATATTCATCGTTATAAACAGAAAATTTTGGAAAATTATAAAAAAATTACCTAAAACCAAATCTACATATATAAAATTGTTTGTCCTGACTGACCTATCAACCTACAGCCAAAACTACTGAGCCTAGAAAGCTGAAATTTGGAACATAGGTTTATTTTATAACGTAAGCATCCGCTTAGAAAGGATTTTTCAAAATTTTAACTTTAAAGGGGGGAAATTGGAGGAAATGGGGGGAGGGAGCTTTTAATGAAACTCTTTGTTCTTTAAAGTTAGAAACTAAATTACAGCTACTAAGCATAAATAAATAATGAAATGTTTCAGGGTTTTTCGGTTTTCACATTTTAAGGGGGGAAAACGGGGGGTGAAAATTTGTATGGGACTATTGATTTTTTTTGTTCTCTTTGAAGTTAGAAACATGAAAATTGGAATTGTAGCTACTGATTACAAATTATTAATGACGTGTTTCAGGGTTTTTGGATTTTCACATTTTAAGGGGGGAAAACGGGGGGTTAAAGTTTGTATGGGACTATTGATTTTTTTTGTTCTTTGAAGTTAGAAACATGAAAATTGGAATTGTAGCTACTGATTACAAATTATTAATGACGTGTTTCGGGGTTTTTGGATTTTCACATTTGAAGGGGATGAAATGGAGGGGTGAAAATTTATTTGGGAGTATCTATGTTTTTGGTTCTCTTTAAAGTTAGAAACATGAAAATTGGAATTGCAGCTAATGAATACAAATTAATAATGACGTATTTTAGGATTCTGGATTTTCACATTTTAAGGGAGGGAAATGGGGGAGAAAGTTTATTTGGAGATATCGATTTTTTTAAAGGTAGGAACTTGAAAATTGGAATTGTAGGTTCTCATCATAAATAATGAAGTGTTTCAGAATTTTTGCATTTTAACATTTTACGGGGGGAAATGGGGGGTGAAAATTTGTTTAATAGTATATATCTTTTTGTTACTTAAAGTTTGAAATATAAAAATTTGAATTACAGCTACTGATTAAAAATCAAAAATAATGTAATTCATGGTTTTTGGATTTTCACATTTTAAGGGGGGGAAACGGGGGTAAAAATTAATAAAAAGAAATAATAAAAATTAATAAAAATTGACGAAAGTAATTAAAAATAATTAAAAATATTTAAAAATTAATAAAAATTAATGTGAATAAAAATAAATAAAAATGAATAAAAATGAATAAAAATAAATAAAAATTATTAAAAATTAATAATAATTAATAAAAATTGATAAAAATGAATAAAAATAAATAAAAATTAATTAAAATTAATAAAAATCATTAAAAATTAATAAAAATAAATAAAAATGAATAAAAATGAATAAAAATGAACGAAAATAAATAAAAATGAATAAAAATTATTAAAAATTAATAAAAATGAATAGAAATGAATGAAAATGAATAAAAATGAATAAAAATGAGTAAAAATGAATAAATATAAAAAAAAAATAAATAAAAATGAATGAAAATCAATAAAACAAATAAAAAAAGGAAGTTATGTATTTTTTTATATTAATAACACGACTACATGCGAGAAAAGTCGCGAGCAAAGCCGCGGGCAATAGCTCGTCGAGTATAAATGTTAAAGGGAAATAAATTGTAAACTATTGTCGCGATAGTTTAAGCGATGAGTTCTCGTGCCTCGTGCGGAAGGTCCGGGGTTCATATCGGGTGTGAACCCAAATTCTTTTTTTTTTTGTCTATTTTATAAATTGGTATAACCCAGAAATTCAAATCTGTTATTTTTAAAATAGTTGCTTCTAATTTTGCATTAAAATATGCATTAGAAATTATTGATAGAAATATTATTAGTAATTAAGATTAGGATTAAGGATATATGAACTTTGTATATCATAATACAAGCTGAACCTCTTCTGGAGTGACGCTTCTGTGGTTATTTCGTAGGTTATTTAAATAAATTTTATACAAATTTGTAATATTATATATGTAAAACAAAAATTGAATAAACTCCTTAAGTTGGAACCAGATGGAAAAAAAATTTATTATTGATTTTAGGAAAAAAAGTTATTCTTGATAAAAAGTCCTGCATGACCCAAAACTTAAAATACAGTCATCAGCTATCAAATTTTTTAAGCCGTATACGAGGTTTGTCAAAAAATATAAATTTTGCTCAAGAGTAAAGTACGTTTATTTTTGTCAAAATCGAAAATTTTCATTAAGAAAATTGCTAAATTCTTCACAAACATCAAGAAAAGGAAAGCGTATCATGTTTATAGTAGAGAAGAGAGAGAATATAACGTTTTCAGATATTTACAATCAATGTGTAGCAAAGTTTATAAAAAAATAAGAGAAGCTGATTTTTTAGATAGATCGGTGTAATTGCATATTTGAATGTAATTTTCAATTCTAATCAACTTTTCTTAATGAAAATTTTCGATTTTATCAAAAATAAACGTACTTTACTCTTGAGCAAAATTCATATTTTTTAACAAACCTCGTATACGGCTTGAAAAATTTGATATCTGATGAATGTATTTTAAGTTTTGGGTCATGCAGGACTTTATCAAGAATAACTTTTTTTTCCTAAAATCAATAATAATTTTTTTTCCATATCAACGCAGAAGTCAATTCAAGGGCAGGACCGGAGTCCAGTTCAGAACGTATTGGATGTATTTTCAACACTAAAGAAGTTTTATTTGTATTTCAAAAAAATCTATTACGGTCAGGAAATTATCCTCTTTATAAAAGAAACAATTTTTTTATAAACAATAAATATATTTAAATTGATCGATATTAAAAAATTATAAAATTAAAATAATATACATGACAAGAGGTAAAGCTAAATTATCAACTTGGGTCGTCTTCGCTTCCACTAAAGAAGTGACGACTATCGCTGACAATATTTTAACACTATCATAGGACGACAAGGGTCGAATGCAGTCTGAAACCAAATTAAATCGAATATAAATACCAAGTGTCTCACTATATTTATCCACATTTTGAGGACTTGTATCTTCCGAAATAGTTAAGATATCCTGATGCCGTTTTTACTAAAGACCTAACCCTTTCAGACCAGAACTTTCATTTCTGCACCAAAAATTTTTTTAATGTCAGGATCAAGTTAACGTTAAGAAATATTACAAAAAATATATTTTTTTATAGTCATTTCTTTTTGGAGATAGGGAAATGTGTACAACTGAGCACATCAGGTCTCAAATAATTTATTTCAAAGATCAATTTTTCATATTTATCAGCAAAAATAAACACATATATGAAGCACATCAACGTTAACAAAAAATTAAAGCAAATTAACCAAATGAAAAAGAAAATTATTTTGAGGGAAAGGCCATAAAACAGTTCTTATCTTTGGATAAACATAAATTAATATTGTATTTTGGTGCATTTGAGAAATATACATCTACTTATTTACTTTGTATCATTATGAAGGGGGAGATGATCTATAACATCAAGTTGAAACTACTGGTGAACGAGTTTCTCCATGATGTATTTGAATTACAGGTTAACATGGTGAAGCTGAGGTAGACGGACGTCCTTTGTGCGTTTACCTGAGCTCTGTTCTATCAAAACACAAGTTTTTGACACAAATGAATGAGCTTTTATGAATTGTATGCTATCCGTACATCGCATTGACTGAGACTGATTGTTCACAGTTGTAATACATAAAGTTTGCAAAACAGTTACTAGTGCAGTATTACACACATAATAGTCTGCCACAGTCGATAAGAGCTATAAGTTACACAAACATTACTCTAGAAACAAATAATAATAATATATACAGTGAGAACGCATGGGTTGGAACAAATTCATTTAAAATTCAGGGATGTTTTTTGAAAAAAACGCTCGGACACTTTTTATTTTTGGATGCGGTTTTTTTAATAGTAAATTTACGTATACAGAATTACCCAAAAAATAAGTTACGACCATTACCTTCATTTTTTTAAATGGAAACTCCTATTATTTTATTCTTTTTGAATTTTGCATAAATCATATTTAGAATTTGATACAAAATTCAAGCGTTTTTCCAAAAAAACAAACCCGTAAATTTTAAATTTGTTTCAACCCACGCGTCCTCACCGTATAATCTTGACCAGACTTTTCACAAATTGGCGCCCAATGTCACTTTCTCTATTCTAGATTTGATAAAAAATTCAAGCGTTTTTCCAAAAAAATCAAACCCGTAAATTTTAAATTTGTTTCAACCCACGCGTCCTCACCGTATAACCTTGACCAGACTTTTCACAAATTGGCGCCCAATGTCACTTTCTCTATTCTAGATGGCGAAGCCACGCATCTATTAATGTGTACTACTGTATACAATCCGGTCCAGATCAAAAATTACTCATCTTAGACTAACTTAAGTATGTTATTATTTAATGTATTCAATTGTGCACACTGTGCCTGAATGGGTTAGTTAAGTATGGTTAAGTTTTATTGGGGCATAGCGGAAATGAAATTGTAACCTCATTAGGATATCTTAATTGGTTCGAAAAATATGGTCCTCAAAATGTGGAAAATATGGTATTTATCAAACAAACATAAATAACATACCGAAATATATTAACAGATATATCAGTCCAACTTGAGATAACACACAGGCAAGCGTCCCTTCAACAGTCTTTTTGGTGCCTGAAAATAGAAAACGCGCATATTTGTACAATTGGAACAACTTTTGTTTAAACAAAAATTTGTACCTGGCCAACTAAATTTCCCATAATGTGATCCCACGATGCTGGCCATTGAATCACCCACTCCTATGCTCAGTAGCCCGCTCAATAGTATGACCAAGTTAAAAGAGGCGGAATCTGTTACGTCACAAGGGGACGGATGTATCCAAATAGGCAGCGAACAGCCTGCCAATAAGTAAATAGGCGTCAAAGCCAACTGTTCGCAATCTTTTTCGTCGCTGAATACCACGAAGCCATCTTGAAGATAAATGCCTAAAGGAGGTATTCGTAGATTGCGCAGAATCTAAAGAAAAAAATTATTAGTACCATGTGCCAAATCAAAGTGTCCATCTAAAAGTTGAGAACGGAAAAAGACATCGACATGTAGTTTTCACTAAATTTCAAAAATGTACTTCAAGTTTTTGTTGACATTGTTGCCACGTGTAAAGTAGAACCAGAAATATTGTAAGGTTATAAAACACCAACCACTTGAGTTATCAGCAGGAGGTCGCCTCTACGCAGAGCCGTACCTACTCTAGCCATTAAGTTATCTTTTATAGGTATAATGATAAATTGGGTCAAAATAATTATTAAAAAAATCTCTTGAATATAATTTAGAATTATGTATTTAGAAATATTATATGATATACAGTGTCACACATAAAGTCCACATCATATGGGAATTTTTTTCCTAATTGCTGTGGATAAATTTTTACTGCCATCATTTTTAGCTTAAAATGTTTCCTTAAAATTGCAAAAATGGTATTATTTTCCAAAATATCGAAAAATACATAAGGAAAAAGTTGTTTATTATTTAATTAGAGTAAATTAAAAATGAATTGTTAAAAAAATTGAAAATAAACAAAAGCTGAAAGTTGGTATATGAACAAAAAATTAAATAATAAGCAACTTTTTCCTAAGGCCTTTTGTGAAATTAAAAAAAATAAAGCTAAATTTTGCAATTTTTTGAAATAATGTCAAATTTGACATTTACGAAAATAGATGGTAAAAAAATTGAAAAAACAAAGAACTTGAATGTTGGTATATGAGCAAAACATTAAATAATAAGCAACTTTTTCCTCGGGCCTTTTTGACATTTTTTGAAAAAATGTCTACTACCACCATCAGTTGAAGTACTGGCTGCAGATTGGACCCATGGACGACACATTTTTTACAACACTTTGGAATAGACACAACTGACACACACAATGGAATATTCGGTAACCATTCCTTAACTTCCTAGACATTTTTTAGGAAAATAACTGTTATTTTCCTATGAATTTATGCGTAACTTTATGGATATACAATTTATTAAATTTAGCCTACTTTACTTCCTAGGAATGTTAGTAGATATTATTTACAATAAACATATCCTTACCAAGTGCTCTAAATCAACCCTAGCAGATTTTTATATTATGAAATGGTTTTAAATACAAAACTGTCAACAGAAAACAAACAATAATAGAGAGCTCCTTAGACTAGGTAATAAAGAGAGGACTCATAACGTCGCTGATAATCTTGTTCCATTTTGATACCAACGATATTTGACCAAAGGCGTAAAATGTTGGAAATAAAAAACGAACTTGTATTTATATTAGTACTTCATTGATCTTTTTAGGTATAAAGCAAGTTCAAAGCGTAAAATTTAAAATAAATAAGACACAAGAAAAAAATATATAGAAATAAACTAAATAAAATCGTTTACATAATAAAATGAGTTTTTTTTTAAATTCCGCAAAATAAAACATAATGATCTACATGTATTACAAAAAGATTTATTTTTACTCAATAAAGAATGACCCTACCCAGATACCACAGACACGTTTTAAAAACATTAAATAAGTTTGTTCACGACGTTCGTGACGTTTTGAAGATCTACGCTAATATCCAAAAGATGTTTTAAAGGCGTCTATAGGACGTACTTTGTTACAAAACAAGGCTTCTTTAGGATATCTAATTATGTACAGGGTTTTCCATTATATTTTGACCGCTACTTATTCGCATTATTATTGCGAACACAAAAAAAAGTTTAAATTAAAAGCTTTGTTGTTTTACCTGTACCGACTAAAAATGTAATAACTGGCAAAATTGTATATACAGGGCGCCTCCAACAAAATATAATTTCATTTTTTTAATGGACACCCTATATATTTTTGTCATTTTAAGTAGACTTGCATTTCCTGATTACAAATATACAGGGTGGCTCACGCTCAACGGGACGGAGCTTTATGGGAAAACGACCAAAGATATAACAAATTCGTTTGGGAGGAATACGTAGGTTACAGACGGCTACAATTTAAAATTTGTTAGATGTATACAGGATGTCCCACATAAGAGAAAATACACAAAGTTATATTATTTTTATTGGAACACCCTGTTTTTTATTTTAGAATTAAAAACTACATCAAAAATAATGTCAGTTAACTAAAGGTTCCCTATTACTATTATTATTAGTTTTCGATTTATTTGAATTTTTAAGGAAAAAAAGTCTCCCAGAAATTAATTGTTTACTCTTGTTTGAATAATTTTTAATGAACTAATTTTTTTTCATTTATGAGGGACATCCTGTATACATCTAAAAAATTTTAAATTGTAGCCATCTGTAACCTACGTATTCCTCCCAAACGAATTTTTTATTTTTGGTCGTTTTCCCATAAAGCTCCGTCCCGTTGAGCGTGAGCCACCCTGTATAATAGTTTAATTATTTAGTGACTTATTGCACTATGAAAGTGTAACACATAGATGCCTATGAAAATGATGTTTCCAAGTGAAACAGTTGTTTGTTTATTAAAAGTGTTCAATTAATTGCTAGTAATGGGTTAAACTGTAACCAAAAAAGTTGAGGTAAAACAACAAAGCTTTTATTTTAAACTTTTTTGTGTTCACAAGAATAATGCAAATAAGTAGTGGTCAAAATATAATGAAAAACGCTGTACGTCTTGAAAAAAAACCGTATTGGACGTGTTTAAGTCTTTTTACTTGATGAAATTTCATTTAAAAAAATAAGAGTACTTGTCTACTATATTTAATACTGTTTATTATACATTATTAAACTAAAAAAAACCAAAATATTAACGTAGCTTTTAAAACCAATAATACGCTTGGGAAGTATATTAAAAACAATAAGGGTAAAATTAATCCTAATAATAAATCGGGGGTATATAAATTAAATTGTGGTAGTTGTCCAAAATTGTATATTGGTCAAACAGGCCGTACTTTCAAAAAACGCTATTCCGAACATTATAATAGCTATACAAAAAACAAAAATAATTCTACTTACTCAAATCATATTTTAGCTGAAAATCATTCTTTTACAGACAACTTTGAAATTTTACATGTAGAAAATAAGAGCCTTAAATTAAACCATTTAGAAACACTTGAAATAAATAGATTTAAAAATTCAGATAACTTACTAAATGATCAATTAGATATTAATAATTCACCCTTATTAAACCTCTTTCCCAGTTTTCTGTGAGATAATCCCGGTAATGGGCTATCTTATTGTTATTTGATGGATATTATAATTACCTAAGTACCCTTATTTACTTTAAATAGTTAGTTTATTTTGTAATGTTATTGATGTTTTCTTAAGTACTTTGTTTTGTTAAATTATTTTGTATATATATTGGATACCGAATTGTAAATAGTCACATTTGAAAAAGAAGTTGTACTTCGAAACATATGTCATGTTAGTGTTTGTTTAAAAAAAAAAAAAAAATTTTATTTTTAAAATAAAAGTGTGAAAATCTACCAAATTTGGTTTTACTCTTTCAAAATTAAATGGATTTTCATCAAGTAAAGGCCGAAACAATAAATAATTTGACACAAAATAAATATTATTTTACAGTGTTGGATAAAATAATTAAAAAATGACTTCAAGTACTTGATGCTATGAGAAACTATTCCAGTTTGATCAATTTAAAAAATTCTTTTATGGTGTTAATTTTAGCCAAAGCGTCTGTAACTAATGTCTCCGTAGCATATAATTTTGTCGAGTTATTGTTTTAAGGTGTTTTTCTAAAAAATAGGACATTATTAAAGTGAGGTTATAAAATTAAAAGGCAAATAAATTAAAACTTACCGTTTTACTAGTTTACTAGTTCCGGTATACCACAGTTCCAATAATGACAAATAAATAATATAAAATGACAATATATAAAAACACACAACCACGAAAAAGTAATGACTATGTCCACAGACTATCGCTAAACATATTATGCAATGGCTGTCCCCAGAAGAAGGTAGCTAGAGGAAAAACACGACTCGATACGCGCGCACGATACTCCAATCAGCCAATGACGAATGACGATCTACATGTGCTGCAGGCAGCGCCAAGAACGTCTTGGTGCCATATTCAAATATAGCGAAAAGATTTGAACGTCCACATTACCGACATATTCAAAACGTCCTAAAAACATCCCAACAAAGACGTTTCAAACATGACCTGAGCAGAGTGTCTTAAAACCGTCCGTTTTACGTACCAGGACGTTTGGACGAAAGTAAGACATGAACTGGACGACTTTAAGGTGTAGTGTGCTATCTGGATATTATTAAATTAAGCTAGCAAGAAAATTTATACATAAATGAAGATAAATTTATTACTGACCCTTAAATAATACTAATTTGGTACAATAACAAGAAGTTTTAGCGAACAACTCTTTTTTTATATTTTGAGTTCACGATTATTAACCTCTTAACCGAGCAGGACGTATAAATACAAACGTAAATAATATCGGGTACAGGAAGGACATATCAGTACGTTCTTGATGCAGATGATTGATTATAAGAACTTTATAACATTTTTTTTATTGAAAAGTAATACAAGACAATTTTCTTGAAGATATAAAAAAAATCTAAATTTGAATAGTTTAAAAAATAACTTTAACACAAAAACTGTGACAAATAATTTTCAGCAAAACGATGAATTACACTGATTAGCTTCTGAACCCTCCAATTGTTAATTTTTTCATATGTTTTATTGTGTACCTAAATAAAATATATTTATATATTTTTTGTAATCTTTATAATTTTTTAATTCGATGTTTTCATTTTTTTGTTGGTATTCTTTTCTATGCATAATTTTGTATTTTCTTTTGTGCTTTATATATAAATAAACGAAAAAATATATATTTCATATTATTTTCATTTATTTTAAGCATAAATAAAAAAAATATGAAATTACGTCCTACGGGCGTGGCGTACTGGATACGTCCTAGTGAAAGAGTTCGCGCCCGTTTAAGCTGCGCAATTAGAAAGGGAATTCCCCGGTTAACAGGTTAAAATGCCTATTTCATAAGATATTTTAATACATATCTGGGAATCTTTTAAGGGACACACAATTTGATTGGTTACCTACATTTCGAACAATAGGTAATAATGAGGGTCGTCGGCTAATACTAATTTAGGACCTTACAATATTTCTGGTTCTACTTTAATTTTTTTCTGGACAGTACCAAAAAAATATTACTTTTTTGAACCAACATTGTGTGTTTACTTTAAATAGAACACTATAATTTTTAACATCCTCTGAAAAACAATTTCTTCCATTTTCCAAAAATGTATACATTGTCTGCATTTTTTTATAGTTTTTAGAGAAACATTGACATTTTTATGAAACTATGTCAAGAATTTCCAAAAGTAAAGTTTCATATTTTATCACTCGAGAATGAGGCAAGGTTTTGATAAGCGGCTTGCACTAAAATTCTCAGAAATGATTAATTTTTGTTTTTAACACGTTTGCCATGTCTCTAACGTTGATAAAAAATTACTTTTACATGCAGCAAGGGGAATTGCGAAATGTAAAGTGACTCTAAAAGAATATTTTGAGCGTTTTCAATTTGTAGTATTTTTTTAAACTTTTAAACGTTTGAGACTTGGCAATCATGATAGAAAAATAAATGAAATATTTCTAAGAAGTTCAGTGAAAGCCCCATATCAACAACACCTTGTCTTATTCTCGAGTTATAAGCTGTTAAACTTTGATACTTTATGTTTGGAACTTCTCGACTTGGTTTCATAAAAAAGTAAATGTTTCCCTAAACACGAGTAAATTCGGATAATATATAAATTTTTCGAAAGAGGTAGAAATGGTCTATCTTTAAAGTAAATTAACAATTTTAATTCTAAAAAGTTTTTCGGAGTTTTCCAGAAAAAAATTACATGTCAACAAAAACATGAAGTACATTTATGAATTCTAGTGAAAACTGAATGTCGATGATGATTTCCGTTTTCGATTAGATTAAAATGCGTCTTGGATTATGCACTAAATTACCTCTAAAGCAAAAAATATTCCCAACACCACGCCGCTGGCAAGGTACAAGAAGGAACATCTATAAAGCAGTCCTGGAATGTAAACAGCGACAGCTAGGGCGTGAAAAATTTTTCTGGTAATAGTTGACGCTTTTTTGGCATAGAAAATTTGGTTGCTCACTGCTAGTACCGCTATACAAGTACAAAAAATCCAATACATAATTAATTTGATCTAAAAACAGTAACCGATTAACATTGGAAAAATCGGAGCGGGTTATAAAATACTAACCGTTGACCAATCGTCAAACATTTGATTAACAATCCATAATACGGGGCTTCTTTGAAGCAGGATATGTAATGGAATGATAATAGTAGAAAGTATTGCCAAGATCGATGTAGAATAAAATGCAACGGTGCTCTTTATTTTAAAGCAATAGCAAGAAAATGCTATAATTCCTATACCTGTGAGACCTAGCTAAAAAAAAATATAAACCGAATAATTATGTCTTCTTAAATCAACGTCAATCGAAAATAATTATGAAACTGGTCTTACCTTTTGGTGTGTGTACCATATAAAAGTCGAGCCTGGGCGGGTATCCTCGACAATCGCTAAAAAAACGAACCGTTTTCGAAAGTGAGTGGTTGAAAAGCGAGTAGTTTTTGAAATCTATATTCTTGACTGACGTTCGATGAGTATTCGTTTTTTAAGACGTGTACGTTTTTAACAAGCAAATAATATGTCTGGCATCACTGTAAACTGTCTATATCGTTGAATTCAAGTAATGTGCAGGCCATAAAAGAATAAGGATTATGTAATTTAATTACAACAAACCAATTGTAAATTTGTCGAACGATGATTTTTTCTAATCACATAATATATATCGATGTTCAGGATAATCTGAATCGTTAATTGTTGGCGTAAAGCTATACGGGTGCAGTTAATGCAACCTATATTTCTAGGAAAATAGTAAGTCATAAAAACCTAGTTTTTATGGTAAAAAATTCATTTAACTAATAACTTTGCTTATCTTATTTAGTTCTTTAATATTTTGTGGCAATTTTACAAAATTGTAAAAATTTCTGGACACAACGTGTGATACAGAAGAGCTTTGAACCGCAAGCAAATTAACATTTGTAAATAAAACATACATGAATTAATAATTAAATTCTTACACGGTAAGATATAAAAAATATTCATTCAATATCAGTTAAAATCAAAAACTGGATTCTGCCTCTGCAAGTCTGAATCTTTAAGGATTCTTATCTTCTAAGTTTTCTAATTGTACAATTATTGATAATATAATTGAAAGAAATTCTCAGCTAATGGACTTCTTTAGTACTGCAAACCATATTTATAAGAAATTAGATACTTTTGTAGGTATTAATAAAAAGTAGTTTACCTAGAATTTGTTAAAATCAATCAATATTGTTAATCGTCCTAAAAGTGACATATAAGTGACATTGACTAAATCCTTGAAAACATGCACGTTTTATCAAAAACGTGTGAAAAATTTCGCTCGCTGTAAAACACCCGTTTTAAAAGCGTACACGCTTTTAAAACGAATGTCGAGAATAGCGAATAGCTCGTATGTTGCTAAAGCGTATACGTTTTTTAGAAAACGATAGCCGAGGATAGGGCCCCTGTTCACATTTATACAAGGCGTTTTTGAAATACATGTACATATTAAAACTAGTTAATATTTGGCCACACTTAACCTTTCTACGAATTTTTAAATACTTGTTAAAGGCCTTAATAAGTTTTCAACGACCTTCTTAGTTCATCAATTCGTGTAATTTAAATGTCTATTATCCTTTCGACTCCAAGGTTTCCCTCCCTCTGTATTGTCACCCTTAATGATGATTTAAATGAGTTGTCCCATATCTCATCCGGATGTATTAATATGTTTTGCCTAAGATAATTAACATCAATAAAGACAAATTACTATTAAAGTAACCGTCTTCTATATTCTGGAAGGTGGCATCCGAGATTACAAAACTACGCAGGCTTAGTTAGGTTGGGCCATCAACAAATTCTACTCCAGAAAGGCAAGGACGTGTTAATGCCACATTCTATGCAAAATTTTTAGCATGCATTGCCTGGAAATACATACCAGCAATATGGCAAAAGGCGACAGTAGTCTACCTTACTAAAGTACGTAGGATGAGACCAAACGCCAAGGTCATATCGTCCTATAATTATCTCCTTCTTATTAAAACGCTAGAAAGAGCGATAGATATGATCAGGGACGAGATATTAGAAATAAATCCGCACTATTCCAACCAAGATGCATACCAGCCAGGAAAGTCAATTGACCTAGCGTTGGACGATCTAAGCAGGGTGCTTTTAAAGGCAATAGATTACAAAGAAATCGCAGATATCGAAGGAACTTTCAATAATACCTCAACCAGGTCAATAACGAAAGCTCTAGAACAGGAAAACGTCCCAGTTACAATATTCCAATATGTATCTAGGGAATAGGATCATTTACAAGGAGGAATACTATCTGCAAAGCTGTTGTCGGTTCTAGTGAACGGCCTACTCAAAACATTGTCCAAAGAAGAGTACCAGTGCCTAGGATACTCAGACGACCTAGCAATTATCGTCGAAACATAGTGAACTGGCGCAAAAAGGAGCAATTGTCCAAACGGGCAATTATAGGACTAAGAACATGGTTATTCCATTTGTCACAGAAGCCAAATAACTCTGCCTCATATTTGACTAAAGGCCTGATGTGGAATCAACATCTCAAAAATTTCTCATACAAAGCTATCGTAAGTTGTAGAAGAATATCCGGGAAAAACTGGGGCCTAAGTCCCAAAATGACCATATAGTTATTCACAAGGGCGATAAGACCCATGTATGGCGCAGTGGCGTGGGTAACTGAAGATGATTTTGTTTTATTTTTGTTGGAAAAGGGTAAGGCAGAGTTTATTTTAATTTTTTATATTCGTGTAGAATGGGAAGCTTGTTACAATTTGAGGCAAGTTCAATTTAATTTTATACAAATATCAGGTTATGTACCAACGCTAATGTAGTTCGATCCCTAACAAAAAAAAATTTAGTGGACTGTGTGATTGGAGAAGCTGATTCGCGTGGCGTTTAATTAGTTGTTTTTAAATTCCATGTGTAAATTGTATCGAGATTTATAATTTTATTTCTTTGACTTACCAAGGTATAGATGGGATCACTTTGGAAAAAAAAAACTCCCGTGTAACCCGATATTTCAGTGCAAGTGAAAAAAATGGTCGTGTACTTCGTTCGATGTTTAGTATCTGTTGACAATACTCTTATTGTCCTCTGCTTTTCCTTCAAAAGTCGTAAAACGTACAATTTTGGATAAGGAAAAATAAAACCATAAGCGGACTATACCCAACAATGATTTGCCGCGATATTGCTGGCATTTTGATGTAATTGAAGAGAAAATGAATGCGATGATTAAAAGGTAAAAGCCTACTTTTGGCCTTTCGATAATGGCTCAGCATTATGTTGGTTGATGATGGACTTAAGAAGGATAAGTAACAGTATTGGGTAAAAGCATGGTAAAAGTCAAAAGGCTTATAACTGCTACAGACCCAACCCCAAAATTCCAGAAGGGCTCCGTCCCGCGTTCTCGGATTGCTAGTATTCTTTGTAACTTCTTACTTTTACTTATTGTTAATTTAGAATATTTTATGAAAAATTTTTTTGTAAAAGACATTTTTCCTCTATTATTTTATACAGCTGAATTAAATAAAATGTCTACAATATTTTATATTGGAATGCCTTCTGTTTTTGTATAGAATTTATAGTTCAAACGGTAACGGTACAACTGGTCAAAGAGGCACTATCGAATCGCCTATCTGGTTATGTGCTTGGCACATGGCCTTTATTCAGCAATCAGTATTAATATGGTAAAATGCCTACAATTTCGCGTTAACTTTCCATCAGTTGGCCATTAATTGCTAATATATTTATTTCTAGACATTTATAGGGAAAATGGAGGCCTATTAACTGGATTTGATGGCTAACTTACTTCAGCCCTTTAGTTGTAAAACTTAAATGGTCATCATTACAATTGGGGGTAACAGTTATTGGGCCTTTTATTTCCCTACAATTAAATGTTATGTAGGATTGTGTTGATCCATCCATACTGTGTTTATACAAAATGTTACTGGGTAAAGTCCTAAGCCATTTAATAAAGCATTGAATAATGGTCAGAAAACGGAAATTTTCCTAATATTTAAAATTGAGAAGTTCACGTCAAAATTAGAGACATTTGTTTTTGGACATCATATACTACTACCAGTTTTAACATAAAAACATGTATTTCAAAAACACCCGGTATATCCTTACCTGTAAGATTATTTCACGGTAAAATTAGTGACATTCGTTTTTGTTTTTTTTTTAAATTTGTAGCAAAATGTCCCAGATCTAGTGGAATATTTAAACTGGTCAACTAGTCCTCTGACATTTCTTCACGTATTTTTTAAGAACCAAAACAAACCTACTACTACCAGTTTAAATACATAAATGTATTTCAAAACAACTGTATATCCTTACCTGTAAGATTAAAGTTGATATCTGCATATTGCTTCTGAATGGCACAATTCTCAAGCTGTGATTTAAGACATTCGAAATTGTAAAAAAGCTGAAGAGAGTTAAACCTTGGCTTACAAACCCGGCTTCTCCCAGTGAGAAGCATTCCTTAAATTTCGTCAGTATAAATTTGTAGAAATTCAAATAAGCTAGAGTGGAAAACGATCCTCCAAAAATGCAAAATAGCCAGCCTAAAAAAAGTACCTATATACTTTTTTCTTGCATTGAAGTAAAAACAGTTAAATGTGTTAAGCATTCAGTTCTAATATCTATTAGGAAAATGTAAAATTTGTAATATTAAGTTATAATTCTTATAGCTTTTCCTCTAGAAAATATTAACACAAAAAGAAAGTTATTCTAAAATTTTCAAAGAATATTTTACTACAACATTTGTTTTAATATCAGCACATTCATTATTAGTTTTTGGGCACTCTGATATTTTTAAAAGAAAATCTAAATTAAGATAAAAATTTATAACTCTTAAATATATAATGTAATTTCATGAGTTTAGAACATTTTTGGAACAGCATTTTTTTAATATCTTAATAAAACTATGACATTCCTATTCCTAATAAAAATAATCATTAGATTAACTACTTCTGATAATTTTCTTAAATTAACCCATTTATAAACAAATTTTAAACAAAAGTAAAAACAGTTACATAAGCATATAGTTCTGATGACTATTAGGAAAATGTAAAAAAATTGCAGTACTGAGTTAGAATTCTTGTGGTTTTTCCTCTAGCAAATATAGGTAAATACACGAAAAGAATGATATGTTCTAATATTTTCAAAGAATATTTTGCTAAAATATTTGTTCTAATATCAGCAAATTCATTGTTAGTTTTAAAAGAGAATCTAAATTTAATAACACTGAATTTCTCATATTTTTAAATATATAACGTAGATTTCATTTGGCAAATTTTTAGAAGAGCATTTTTCAACCTATTTAATTAACATCTACGAACATTCAGCAGCTTTGGTATTAAAAATAATCATTAGACTAATTACTACTGATAATTATCTAAATTAAAATTGTTACATAAACTACAGGAGATATACACACACACATTTTTATCTAGAGCAAACAGACAATAATTTAAACAATCACAATGCAAATTAATATTAATTCATGAGAAAAAATTAATTCTCATCACCAACATTATGTGCATACCCAGAAATCTAATCCCCCATACTTAATTATTCAACATTGCTTGTAATAGATTTAAATAATAGTAACCTCTTTGGAAGCACATGTGAAATAAAACAGAGGTGACAATCAGGGCTCCTATATTCCATATATTTAAAAGATTTAGTTTCTGGTTCTTATTTCTTTGTAATATTATTGTGAAAGATACCAACACCATGCCTGTACATATTAATGAAGCTAATTTATAAGTAGGTGTTGTAGTAATTGAATGTTTAAAAGCAGAAATTATAATTGAAAGTGGTAATAGGAATAGCATCCAAAGGCCGCTACGACTGCCAGCTCTACAAAATAAGAAAAAGGTAAGGCTTTTTTTATTGAAAATTAAAATTTGTATAATGTACAAACCTGAGCTGGAAATCATTTTTTAATAAAAAATCGTCTACACTCATTTCAGACTTTAATGGCTTATTGATAAATATATCTTTGGTTATCTATTAGTATCAGCTAAGACTTTAATTTGTTGCTACATTTTTGTTCCCAGCTTTGCCGATTTTACATTTTTGAGTTTCATTTTTATTTTTAACCTAAAAAGTTCAAAAATCAGAAGGCAATTACTGGCAGTGATGAAATGTACGAAGACGTAGGTATATTTAATAAATTTTCATTAAGAATGATATAATAAGTAATAATATTTTTAAATAGACTATCACCATCACACTTTACTTTTAAAAATAATGTTATTTCTCTTAAAACAGTCAACTTTAATAAAATAAAACAATTGTTTATAAAATTCAGATATAAAAACACGGAATGGTAGTTACAGCCACGGCTGAATACTGTCAAATTTAAAAAGAAAGAGTAACTATGAATACGTTTGTTGGTAATTTAATTTGGTAAAATGTGTTGCCAACTACTAGGTGTTACAGCTTTTTACAGAGAATTCCGATTTTTTTCAAAGTGGTAACATAATGACTGACCTTGATCTAAGCCACTTGCTAGCAACTGCATGATACAGAATAGACTACTTATTAATAAAAACAATAAAAATGTATATGTCAAATATTGTTAAAAGTTTGATTATAATTAACCGTCAGTGGAATCAAAATTACGTCACACTTGTATGCTATATACCTATGAAGACTAGAGATAAGGAAGCGAATCGGCATACTCGAAATACGGTCCCAAAAATTTAATGTATAATTAATTGTTGTTTGTAAGTCAGGATCTATGACTGTAAAATTTTATTTTATAGAAACTTGTAATAAAATAAACTAGGTACTCTCCGTGATACGTGTTGTGACTAGTTTATAATAAATATTATATTTTGACATGAATACATTATTTTACTTACATTAGAAGCTTTAAAAAGACATTGAATTGATTTCTCCTTGTGTTTAATTTAGTTCTGATTTGTATCTCGTATTACAATCTGGAACGAAGTAAATCTTGCTTTGATGGTTTTTGTCACTCATGTTACTTGTGCTCAGGTACTTTTTTAACATTATTCTGATTCTTTTTACCAATTAAAAAAAAATCACTTCATTTTTACATTAAGGACCGATTCCACCGTTGTATTAAACGAAGTTTAAAATGACATTTTTACATTAACAATGTCATTTTAATCTCCGTTTAACACTACGGTGGAATCGGCCCTAACTTACATAGAAAATTGGCAGCACTACTGTTCGACATGCCAACTACAGTCAATTTCGCGCACTTTTTAAAACGAAGGACGGAGATTAAAATTTAAGGAGGTCTTCACCAAATAAATAATATTTTTCTAATTTTGACATATAAAGTGACATTTCTTGTAATGGCAGCAAGTTGCATAATGTTAAACTTTACGAAACAGCTATTTATGAAACCAGTTACGAAATGCTTTATTTGATAAAACGAGTGATTATGTGCGGGATGAGCAGAGCTAGGTCACGTAACATGAACGAGTTACATAAAACCGCATTTCGTGACATGTTACATACAACATTTTTTCTAATTTTGATTAGAAATAATAAAATCACTTTATTGGTTATACATTTTACAACTAAATGGTCATCAACCTAAGTCCTCCAGCCAGTACAATTTGTATGGTATGTGTGAGGATTTACACGCTATATGTTTAAGATGAATAGGAATATTAATAAGATACTTAAAAAAATAAATGATGTGTTACTAATTATTGTTCATCAACGAATTCGTTCAAGATTTCTATTATTGTCCTCACTGGGTATTTAAACTTTGCTTATCCAAATTGGCGTTGAATCGAAAAAATGTTTATTAGCATTTGATCGTTTTGTTTCTTCGAAAATGTTTTTGACAGTTTTTTAATTATTTAGATCTGTTTAATGTATATTTGTTTAGAGTTTAGTATTTTTAAGTACATTTTCTAAATTCTTTTATATATTTGTAATATTGTTACAATGGTAATACTCATTGCAACTCCTGATGTCGGTAGTATAGTCACTTCCAAACAGACCTGTCATCCTGTCAAACTACTTGAAACTCGAGAGTCTAACCTCCTAATACCCAAATGTAAAAATTCCCAGTATATTTATCAATTTATTGTTATTTTTAGGTAATGAATAATAAGGATATGGGCTAAATAAAGTACAATTATATGTAAATATTTTGCTTACACTAATAATAAATATTACGAAGGAAAAATGAATGATATCAAAGAGAACTCTGGTTTCAAAAGTTACATAGGCGAATCAGAACTTGAAGTAAGTATACAATGTTTTAAATAATAAATATTGTTCTATTTTCTCTATTTTTTAGTCTATTACCTTAGATGATGCACAACGAACAAAATTTTTGGATGGTAAGTCCTCAAACATTTTAGAAGACTTTTATTAAGTACTGAATTATTTCAGGAGAAACTATCGTCCACGAAGAATCTAAAGTATTACTATATACTCCTTTAAGTGACAGACAAAAGTATATTACAGGCGTTTTAACAGTCACTACATTCAAACTTTCTTTTGCCAGTGCTGAAGAACCAGAACCTTCCAATTGTTACCAACAGAATTTTTTATTAGGTGTAAATGATATATGCCTGTCTTCCATTGACGTTATTTATCAAATTGGAGATAGGTCTAAGAAGAAATTGTTACCTGGACAGAATGTTTCAGGCAAAATCAAAGATATACTTATCATTTGTAAAAATATGAAGAGCCTAGAGTTTAGTTTTAAGAATAGTAGCAGAGATAGCGGGAAGAAAATAGTCAATGCTTTACTGCATCATGCGTATCCAAAAAGACATTCTTTATTGTTTGCTTATGATTATAAGTAAGTTTACAGGCAGTAATTTATTTAGGATAAGCATTTAACTTTTTAACTAGGTATTCATTAACTTTATGCCAAAAACTTTAAACACAAGCTGTACGCCCGGGGAAAACGTGACATAGAATGCTAGAAATTGACAATCTGGCACTCAAATTGTCATGGGCACCGACCGTTTTTCTCACACCTGTCAGCTTAGAAATCAGGAGTAGGGTTTATGACATAGCTGTCTAAACTTTGTCTAATTTTATCCCATGTCATACGTCCCTAAACCAACTCTCAAAACGTATAACTATCAAGATGAACACTTATCCAGTCATTTTATATTTTATTTATTCACGGGCCTTGCCCACTTTCAGTACAAAATTACAAATAAAAACAAAAAAACCTCAAATAGAGTCTATCTAAATAATATATCATAATAATGATAAACTAACCACAAAAACACAAATATATTAACATGTACAAAATCGAAACAACTAATATTAAGACTAGGGAATTTAAGTCACAGTAAGTTTTAACACCCTCACAAAATTAGAAAAGCTTGAATTAAAAAATTCTAGACTATCAGCACAAGCATTAGCGCTTCGTGAAACTCTAGGCATGAATGAATTGAGGCCAGTATTAGTTCTCATGTAGGGCTGATGAAAACTGTTTATTGATCTTGTGCTTCTAGTTGGGGCTGCCAACAACATGCTTGAAATCAATGTAGGGTAGTCAACCATATAATTAATGAGTTTAAAAAATTTCAGATCTGCCTGATCTCTTCTTATTCTCAAAGTTGGCAAGGATAATGTATCTTGCAGCGCAGCAAAATCATAGGAATAGTCATCTATCCATGGAATATTTTATTTAAATCTAAGTAGTGAAGAAATTTTCTCTGAATCTGTTATAGTCTATGAATGTGACAAGTATACTGGGGGTTCCAGACTGAAGAGCAATATTCTAGCAGATGCCTAACAAGATTAAAGATTACAGTACAATAACCTGATAGCTTTAATACTTGTAAAGTCTGTTGTGTTTATCTTTATAAACCCAAGCATACCAAGTGCTCTGGGTACTATTGTGTCAATGTGATTGACAAATGAGCGTGGAGTCCATAATAACACCCAGATCTCGAATGGATGCAACTTGGGGCACTGATGTACCCTTGATATTATATTGATACTCAATCCTGTTGATCTTCCTAGTAAAAGATATTGAGTGACACTTAGTGATGTTTAGGTCCATAGCATTTTTCGCACACCACTCATCAAGCCTAGCCAGATCAGGCTGAAGTTTTAGACAATCCTCAAGAGATTAAACTGCTAGGTAGCACTTTAGGTCATCAGCAAAGCATAAACATTTGGCACACTTGAAACATTCTGAGATATTTATGAATAATAAAAATAACAAAGGTCCCAAATGGGACCCTTGGGGCTCCAGATGGATTGCCTAACTCCGCTCTAAAAGAAAATAACTTGTCAAAAATGAGATATTTCTACAAAATTATTGATTTTTTTTTGATACAAATACATTTCATACAATTAAAAATTAAATTAACATAATAATCAAATTATAATTAAAGTTAAAGCACCTAGGTGCAAGCACCTGTATGTGCTAAAGTAAAGTAATAGCATAGTAATATACACATTTATACTTATAGTATACATACATATATACATAGTTTTAAAATATATGTAATAAGAATACAAAATTATCTAGAGTACATCTTATGCCGCGTTTGATAATCCACATCGGATGCATCTGAGATGTAATAAATCTTTGATCACGTGATTCAGTATACGTAAATGTAATGGAACAGATGTGTCCGATGTGGATAAAAAAACTCTCGAGATGTAAAAAATGCATCCAATGTGAATTCTCAAACGCGGCATTAGAAGTGATATACTGTTTTGATTTCTTCTGAAATAATTTAAAAATTTTTATTGCACCATTTATTTGTAATTTTAACATAGTATTGATATAAATGATAAATAAAATTGGACCAAGAACCGTTCCCTGGGGCACTCCCATTTGAACGATTTCCGGCTCGCTTAAGATATTTTTAATTCTCTATTTAACAAATAGTTTTTGAAAAGATCTTATACAGTGCCCCTCACTCCATACTGTTGTAAAGTACTAAGGAGAAATTGATGAGGCACTGTATCAAATGCCTTTGCTAAATCCAAGAACACTGCAATACATTTATCATCCTTATCCAAAGTAAGTTTGATTCGGTTAACGAGTTCAAACATTGCATCGTTAGTGCTAAACCCTGTTTTAAACACAAAGTGCTTTTCACTGAGAATGTTATTTTTGTGTAGATAGTCATACAAACGTACTTTAATGCATTTTTCAAAAATTATAGCAAATGTGTTTATAAGACTAATAGGTCTGTAATTAGCTATGTTATTTTTATATGTATACAGTGAGCATCATAAGTCTTACCCCCCCCCCCTATCTAACTCGTTACTGGAGGCTTGTTGGGAAAATCGCCGAGACACGTCGATTTTTGATTTGTACAATGTACATTTTTGTATGAATAGTTTACCCTTAATTTCATCCCTTACTGGAGGGGAGAAACCCTTTCGAAAAATTTAAATGGCATGGGGTGGTGAGTAATAGCTCATTTAAAAGGGGGTTTTATTCTCTATTCAACCGTGCAAAAAATTTTGAAATTTGCTTCATTCATTCTCGACTAATTATTGTTTCATAATAACGAAAATTAACGTAGCGCACTCATCCTTAGAATTAAAATTCTGCCCTGCATATCGGTTTTGGTTCAGACGTAAAGTAAGACTTTTTGTCATTATGCTTGGATATTAACTGCACGTTTTTGCATTGTTTCTGTTATTTTTAAACATTAATAAATCAACACGTAATGAAGCAAATTTCAAAAAAATTTGCACGGTTGAATAGAGAATAAAAGCCCCTTTCAAATGAGCTATCACTCACCACCCCATGCCATTTAAATTTTTCGAAAGGGTTGCTCCCCTCCAGTAAGAGATGAAATTAAGGTTAAACTATTCATACAAAAATGTACATCGTAGAAATCAAAAATCGACGTGTCTTGGCGATTTTCGTAACAAGACTCCAGTTACGAGTTAGATAGGGGGGGTAAGACTTATGATGCTCACTGTATAGGTACAACTATTGAAATTTTAAACTGTTCAGGTATAATACCAGTCAGAAATATTAGATTTATTATATGTGTAAGTGGGTATAAAAAATGATTATAGTTATTTTTAATCATGTTTGTTGTGATGTTACAATTCCTGGTGAGCTACCGTTTTTTAATTTGACGCAATTTCGTTTTCATTAACTGGTTTTAGAAAGCAAGAGTCTTTGATAGACGGATAATTTATTTTAAACTTGTCTGATGGTTTCTCAATTGTTTCTGCCAATTTACTATCAACTTCAAACATTTTTTTTGTAATATGTTTATTTCCTTTTAAAAAATATATACAATTCATTTTTTTTCTTATTGCATGTTTCAGATGTCCCTGAAATGTACTCCTAAGGTCACGAGATGAAAGGGTCGTTTATTTTTGAATTGTTCTTGCTATGTTATCCAATTGATATACCACATTTTTAGCTGGTTTGTCAAAGACGGTAATTGATCTTAATTTGTTCTTAAATGTCTGTTAGTTTCGCGGAAGAAGCATGAAAAAATATCAAATAATGTCAAGTTCAAAAGAGAAACAACGTAGAAGTCTATCGTCATGATAATAGGTTCTTTCGTTCGTCCCACTGGTGTAGTAATGAACTACACCAACCCACATCCATACCTTTCGTTTGGCCCGGTGTAAAACCCACTATACCTTCCTGTCGGCGATGTGGTGTACACTGGTGGATATTTTCTCCACCAGCTATTTAGCAGGACTGAATTACACTCGACGATGTGTATAAGGAATAAGGAGGAAGTAAATTAGGGTAAATAAGGTGGTGTAACTGGTGTAATTTACACTGGTGGACACTACACCAATAGCGAACGAAAGAACCTAAAAATTGTTATTTCAATTTAGAACTCACAAAATTCTCTCCACAACTTCGTTTAAAACAAAAATAAACTAAATGTTTTAAAAATTCGTCTTTTTAAGATGTTTTTTAAATTGATATAGGGGGATAGCCATGACAAGTTGAAGTAGACAAACGACATTTGATGTACAGTAACTGTCGCTTTTTGAGAATTTGTGGTCGACTAGAACTACAGAACACTGACCTTTATATTAAACTGGATAGTTTTATATGTCATAGCCACACTTCTTATATCTAAGCCGATATGAGTGCAACAAAACCAGTCAAGCCATCTTACGTCACCTCTTCCACTGGTGTCATATATTAATTGATACCCAAAAATAAATTTGGTAAAGGCTCTCACTGACAGTGAAATGAGGAATCTGTAAACGCAGACCTTTGTGCCGTAACAAGTCCCATTATCAATTTAAAAAATACAAGGGCTGTAATTTATTTAATAATTGAGAACCAATTTCAGGAACCACAGTTTGCAAAATTAAGAAGAAATTCAAAGAACCGAGTCATATAAAAAAAAACATTATCAGAAAACAAGGATCTACTTAAAACATCTTAAATATTATTTATTATAATACGTAAATATTATTTATTAAATACAATCAAATTTAAATCGTGCTTAAACCGAAGTCTTTCAACTAAAATACAATGGGAAAGATGAGCATTGAACTTCTCTCAAACTTTCTCTATAAGTGTGGGAGTTATTTTTGCAATCTCAATGCTTATCCGTCTTTTGAGTTTATTTATATTTTGTTTAAATATGTATATATAGAAAACGGGGTTTTCCTCTTTATTTGCAGCGCACAAAATTTCTACTCCCCGAGATTCAAGAATAGGTACCCCGCTTTCAAGTTTTTTATAACTGGTGTTAGGTACTTTTTTTCACAAATTTTTATACTTTTTATCATTATTCGCAGAAAAACACTTTTATTTACATTGACACACAACGTAAATTAGAGCTACATACACACGATCCGCCACCTACAGTTCATTTGGAAAACCTCACAAAACCCAGTTCGGAATTTTGAAATTCGATCATTATCGATTCAACATCTTGCCTCTAGTCTTCATACCTTATCCTTTATACTGATATTAATCTGGGTATAATATGTCGTATTGTTTTCAATTAATTTTAGGGAACCATATGTAAATAATACGTTAAGTAAAGAAGCCCGATTTTTTCACAAGAAGGCTGATTGGGAAAAAGAACTGAAAAGAACAAAGTGTCAAAACTGGAGGATATCTCAAGTTAACTACAACTATCAGATATCTCCATTGCTAATAGAAACTATAATTATTCCACAAAGTGTGACTGATAATATCATTAAGGAAGCGGTGGAGAAGTTTAGGAACAGATTTTGTCCCATATGGGTAAGTCCATAAGGTTTTCAAGATTCAATTAACAAATAAAACCCAGTTCATCATATTTAAGTTGTCATTCTTTCTTGTTATTTTTTAAAGAATTTCATTATAACAAGTTACCTAACTAGCATAACGGGAACAGACAGTCAGAATTACGAATAAGGAAAAACATTTTCAATCGGGAAAAATTAATACCACAGTAAGGATTCCACAAGGAAGCATTATGGAACCACTATTATTTATAATTTAATTAAATGACTTATCATCAGTACCAACTAACATAAAACAAATAATAACAAATTATGCAGATGACTCCAACCTACTAGTTGGAGGGGAAACAATACCAGAGGCCGTGATCAATAGACCTTTTCATCACAATTTTTTTTTGTGCGCATGCGTCAGTTTCAGCCATCTTTTTCGTACTGTTTTTGTAAACAAGTATGTTAAAATGCTTACGTGAAAAAAATTATAATTGATAAATATTAATTTAAGTCTATATTCATTTAAAAAAAGGAAGAAAAAAGTAAAGTCATAATATGTTTGGTGTCTTAATTGAAAAATACATTTTCACAATCAATTATAATTATGTTATCTGTACGGAAAGAAATAACGAAACAGTGTTGTTATGTAAAAGTGACACGGTATAAATCATTCAAAGGCAATAGATATTATTTTATAAATTTTCCAAAGCCTTAACTGCAATATCGTAAACAATTATCAGGCAAAATCCATATTAAAAGATATTCGAAATGTGCATTAAGTGTGAAAAAATATGGTCGAAGTGACAACGGTTTTCGATGGATTAATGATGTTACTAAAGATACTTATATTTCACTGCATTTTCATGGAGAAAGTGGTCCAACAGAAGAAAATTCTCATGTGGTATTAAACAATATTTTTTTAATATTAAATACTACTTCGGTATACACATTAAATGATTAAAAATGTCATGTTGATCCTCAAAATAATAAATAATTTATTTTATTAATTATACTCGTGATTAACTTTCATGCTAATTAAAGTGTTTTTGCAAGTAGTAATAGTTGGTTGGCATAATTAATTAGAATAAAGTTATAATTATTATTTGTTTTCATTAATTTTTTACAGTTAAAAAGTATTGATACACCTAACCTCTCAATTAGTCCACTTTGTTCCTTTGTAACAAACATCCAAGACACTTCAACCTCCTTTTCAACGGCTCACAACTATGCGCTTCCACAGAGTTATAAAAAAGTTATTCACTATCAACGATTTTTTCTAATGATTAATTTTTCTGTAGAGATAATATTGCTTTCCCAGCCATTGTCGATCAAAACAGTACGAAACTTTTGAATTACCGCTATTTCAACATGGTGGCTGCGCTTGCGCTCATCACATGATGAAAAGGTCTATGGTAATTCATTTTTACAAAGAACAAAAGAATAGTTTTCACAAAACAAGCTGGTACTAAATGCAGAGAAAACTTAATATTATTCAGATCCAAATATAGGCAAATAGATAGACCAAATAATGTTTCCTTGTGCAATCAAGACTTGGAGTCCATCTGAACGAATATCTTAGTTGGTTGAATCATATAGATAACCTTTCTATTAAGTTAAGTAGGTTAGCATATGGGTTTCGAATTACCAGTAAATATTTACATAAAAAATTGTCAAAATAATTTACTCGGGTTGTTTTGAAGCGGTATGAAAATATGGCATATTGTTTTGGGGCGGAAGTTCAGAAATTACAAGAATTTTTGTAATACAAAAAAATAGTGTTAAGAACTATAAACGAGTTTCAAAGACTTATGTAGGTCAATTTTTAAAGAAAACAGCATAATGACAACATATGTCTATTGTTCGTAATGAAAAATAAAAACGAATTTATCGTCGGATTCTAAATAACGATCCATTTTTCATAAAACTCTGGTAATATATGAGCTTCTCTTTGACATAGTCAAAATATTATCTGTTGCTAAAGATTTACACACTCACAAATTGTTAACTGTTAGAGACATCACTGTCCTCTATTTGAGCCACATACTTTGATTACTATACGATGCAAGAAAGAGGTCTGTCACGCCCAACATAGGGCGCGGCCATTTTGATTCCTATGCCACAGTTTATAGCTAAAGAATCAGATCGCTCACTCTGCGACGGCACTTTTGATCTCAATGATCCAGTTTATACACAGCGCAACTCGGATAATACAATATATGACAACCGGCTATAATAAAACAGCAGTCTATTGCGTATCCTGAATTTGTATCCCTGGAGTGGATGTTATTTTAGAACTTTCAACTGGCCCGAGTGATCTAACTGATTCTTTAGTAATAAACTGTGACTCCAAAAATAATATTCACTGACAGCAGCAAGCAAAATATCAGGTGCGTTTTAATCATCCGCTTCTGCTTCCGGAATTGTCGGTTTAGTCGTTATAACCTGTGCAACGTGATCTTGTTATTTTATCTATTTTTATAGTGTTTTAAGCTCTTATGATTTTGGGGAGTGGGTTAGGTTATTAAACAACTCGTATTACTTTGAAAAAGAATGTTGAGAGCCACTATATTTAAAACTTACTAAACTTGACTATCGATTAGTGATGAAAATATAGAAAATCACTAACCATTAAGATATTATAATTAAATAAGGTTTCAGATAAGGTAGCGACAAATTCTAATTCACATAGACTTACTTATTCAAATTTAAATGATTTATTCAAGACTTATCTGTTAAATAATAGGTAGTATTTACGAAGAGACTTGTAGAGGCCTTCTTCTAGGGGATTCGTATGATATACTTCGGATATCACCAACTCTTAAGTATAAATCTTCATAGGTAAACTTAAATCTCATTAACTTCTTTAGATGACTCGAACTAAACCTCTTGATATACTTGAAATAAACTTCTGTAGCTGGAACTAAACTTCTAAGTTTCCATACTTCTAAACATGCAGCTTGAACTTTCTTCTAAACAATCTATTTCGATATAACTCCTACAGAACCATCTAGATACAGCCAGGCTTTTTAAAATCAGACGGTCATTAAAAATATTAAATACAATTAGTACATCGGATGTCCAAGATAAAAGATAATTAAAAATTCAAATCAACTTGCTTGTTGACAGAGACGAATCGAAATGACAATCCAAGTTTTGACACAAGGCATAAACGACAAATGACGTTAGGGTAGAGATGTTTACGTCAAAATAACGAAAACGGTTCCAACCGTTACAATTTTTGGGTCTAAATAACGAAAACGGTATCTACCGTTACACCTGTCAGATTAAAACAAGAAAACCGACAATTCCGAAGCAGAAGCGGATGATTAAAACGCACCTATTAAAAATATTACGCCAAGATGTAGGCAACACGTAATAAGGGATCAAAATGGCGGAGCTTTCTATCTCCTTTTAAAAGGCACTCAGAAAGCTGCACAGTGCGACCATTCTCCGTATAGTAAAAGAAAATCAAAGTATGTGATTTGAACGCTTTCCAAATCTATGACGTAGTATTAAAACTGGTTTTAAAAGTTGTTGAAAATATGTTTAAACCAAAGAGACCGCTCGAATATGGCTTAAATCATCGTTATGTAGTAAATTTTACTATGTTATTTATATTTATACATTGTCGACATTATTTTTGGAAATAAAAAATATTATTGATAAGTTATATATTTGTTTTTGTAATTCAAATTCTTCATAACTGACTTGACGTCTGTCAATGTCCAGGGCCGCCGAGAACCAGGTCGGGCCCCGGGACAATTTTCCAGGTCGGGCCTCGCGACAATTTTATAAAAAATTTAAGCCGTTTCAATCACATTTCTAAAAAAAAAAAACTTCTATGAGTGAAAAGAAAAAGCCCTCTTGTGCTCTTGTGGCGAACTTCTAAAAAAAGCCCTCATCTAAAGCTGTCGGGCCCCCACTTGAGTCCGGGTCCCGGGAATTAGTCCCGGCTGCCCCCCTCTTGTCGGCCTTGTCAATGTCAAGAGAAAGTTTCATTTACAGCCCTAGGGAAGAAATACTTACACATATCGTTTTAACAATTAAAACATCATTTATTACTCGTACTTTTATTGCATTTTTTTTTGTTATTCATTAGGTATGGGGTACCCAAAAAGGGGCCGCTCTGGTCAGGATGGCCGACCTCCTGCCTGCCATCACTGACCGCACCGACGAAAACAAATTGCTCGAGCACATACGGAAAAGCCATCCCGATAAGAAACCGCCGCATATAATAGATCTCTCTACGCCCGCACCCAAAGATATTCAAACTAGTTATATGAAACTCAGAGACCTTTGCACGCCTGACAACACGAGGTTGTTCAAAAATCAGGATTTTAAGTTCTACGGGATGTTGGATAGTACGAAATGGCTTTTGTATGTGTCCGTTTGTTTGTCTAAAGCCGTAGAGGCAGCTGAGCACCTGAGTGTACAAGAATCTACTGTTGTTTTACAAGAAGGTAGGTAAATGATAAAATGACACAATCTGTTTGAATCTACGAGAATTGATTCCCATGCTCTGTCCCCGAATATTTTAACAGTTACCTCCCATATCCCTAAAGTGCTTGTCTCAGTGATGCTCATTTTAAGGAGGAACTCTTCTACAACCTGTGAAAATTAGAATAAAGCTAAAAATTGGTATGTTGGTCCAATTCTTTGTCCTGATGATACCCTTCCAATTGCTCTCGGGCTATCTGGCTTGTAATTATTCGGGATAGAGCAAGGGGACCAATCTTTATATTTTAACAGAGTATTAAAACACCATGACACATCAGACATTTAGCGAATCGATTATACGATTTTTATAGGTAACGGACAAGACTTAAATTGCGTCGTCTCCAGCTTGGCTCAACTGATCCTCGACCCGTACTTCCGTACGAAATTCGGCTTCCAATCTCTCATCCAGAAGGAGTGGATCGCTCTCGGCCATCCATTCGCTAACAGACTTGGCCATATTTTGTGCAAAGAAATCGAACCATCTCCCATATTCCTGTTGTTTCTCGATTGCGTGTGGCAGCTATTGCAGCAGTATCCAAAGGCTTTTCAGATCAGCGAGACCTACTTGACCACCATGTGGGATTCTGCACACATTTCCATTTTCGATACCTTTCTCTTCAACAGCCATCACGACAGGTTCATGGCCGAAAATGTGAGTTTGAATCTTTAATAGCCTAAATCCTTCACGATTCCTGTTAGTCTTCATATGTAATTATACCGTGTATGTACCTACAAACAGTCAAATAAGCGATTTGTATCCTTAGGGGTCCTTAATTCTACGTAGCGTATGGGATTGGCGAGAACAGTTCGTGGACAAAGACATAGGGCTCTTTTGCAACCCCCTTTACGATGACAGCTTCCGAGAACCTCTTACTCCTCATACAGGTTTGTCAGGACTTGAGATCTGGTTGCAGTGTTATTTCAGGTAATCACATCACGTTTGACTATATTTAAATTATTTATTAACGCGAATATCCGGTCATTTTAGATGGTTACCCGATTTGGAGATCCGCAACGGAGGCAGGCCTCAAGTGGATCTGTTTAGTCGATATCTAGTCTCCGAAATACTTCAGACCCAGCAAGGTCCGACCGACCTCAATGGCAGATATAACAGAAACAAAGAACAGTACATCGAGTTGATACATAAAGTCAACAGCTTCTTCCCGTTCAGCCATAATTCCGGATTGGTGTCTTCGGATGCCACCAATAACGTTCTATTAACTGGTGACACTTTGGATTCTCAGTCCATACTTAATTTTAACGATTAAACGTGCCTGACGAGAGTTGATAGACAGCAGTGCGGCAAATTAAAAACATCAAAATTTTGCTTCCTCCCTCCTTATATCCGCAATTTTTATTTGGCCGTTTTTCACAAAAGCGACGTTGCCTCTTTATTGGGTTTTATTTCTCAGTCTGTTTCTGATCAGCTCAATAGGGTTATTATTTATCAGTGGGGTTCTAATCGCCTCTACATTTTGCGTCACTATTGCGTTATGATCCCTCATTAGCTCAATCTGAGTTCGTTTCTTTTTAGTTTTTTTTTTTATTAATATATATGCTTCCTTTGTAGGCATTTTCTGTTATAGCGTTTTCCACTGGTAACACTCGGTGTTAGTTTCTTGTTTGCCATTGTAAAACTGGTGTACTAAAACTTGCACTCAGGGCAACTTTTTTAGCATAAGCTGATGAAATCGTGTTATAAATGCAGTGAAAGAATGCGACATGCAAGAATCAAACCAAATTAGCCGTTTCTTTATATTTTATAGTTTTATTATCTTCTTTGGACGAAGTAATATTGAGCTTTTGGAAGCTTTGATAAAACAGAAAAATAGGCAGCTACTATTTTAAATTGTAAATTAATTGTCAATAATTGTTAATTATAAATTGAGCAATTGTTAATTTTCAATTGTCACATATCAATTGTCAATTATTAATTATCAGTTGTCAATTATCAGTTATAAAATTATAAATTCTTGTTATTTTGTTTTACAGTTCAAAAAGTATTTTAACTTTCTAAACTACTGTTAGGATAATTATTATATCTAAATTTAATCTATCTAAAAATGAAAGTTATAGAGGAAATAACAAATATTTTATTATACATTTTAAAATTCTAATATGCTTATGGCACTAGTTTGCAGGAAATTTGAGACAATGCAATATTTTTGTGCACTAGGATCACGCACCATATAACTTCAGTTCATATTCAGTACATACCATGGAAAACGCTATTAATTGAGAGTTGTAAAAACATTTTGAGATAAATTGAACCTCTTTTCAACTTTTGGCTCCAATTTTACATCTATTAAAAAAATTACTTTGGGACATGTTGCAAAACCCATTTTGCAAACAACCTTTTCTTTGACCCAAAAAAAAAAAATGAGTTTAAGCTATATACCTTTTTGCAGAGATAAGTGATTATTATAATGCTTGGTATTATTTAAGTATGGTCCCTAACGTTGCTTTGAAACGTCGAAATAGTGAAAAACTCAAAAAATCAGTCAAATATTAATTTTAATGCTAAAAGGAGGTTATATAAACGTTTTACGCCTTCTAATGTCAAATGTGACAGATACCTTCCTCCTAGTGTCATTTAACAACAAATTACCAAATATTTTAACTGTTGCAGTACATTTTGTTTTTAAGCACAACTACAAACCAGTAATATTCCATTAAATTATTTAAATCTTTAACGATTAACATTATATAATGAATTTCATTTTAACGACTATATTTAAAATAACCGAATCTATATGCAACAATTCCGTCTAATTTAAGTTTAAAACTGAAGGAGGGTTTCGTAACTGCTTAGCTTAAATTTAAAACTGCTGGACAATTTTGAGGATTCCAATGAAGTGATATCGATAGTAATGCCACTACTGACTAAACTATTTTCTTTAAATAATATCGCGGATGTCCGCTTTGAAATATTATGTGACAATGTCAGTTGTTACTTATCAATTGTTAATCGTTAATTGTCAAATATCAATTGACAATGATCAGTTATCAATTTTCAATGGACGTTAATTGTTAATAGTCAATTATTAATTGTTAGTTGTTAATGGCCAATTGTTAATTGTCAAACTAAAACTGATTAGATTAGAAAAGTTAGTTTTTTCTTGGAAGTTTTGTCATTAATGACGGTAATAAAATATTGTTTTTAACGGTCCCATAAATAAAACCAAAGTGCACTATTTTATAAATTAATATTGCAAAAAGTTCTTTTTAACAAAATTCTGAATTTAGGTTTAAGCTATGTCGTTGAAACCTGTCCTGAGCAGGTTTAGACGTTTCTTCGTTTTTTTTTTTTTTTTTTAAATTATGTACTATCGTTTTGTTAATAACTAATTATTACGAGATTACCTGCAGTATTTTTTATGAAAAAGAATATATTTTAATTTTTTCTTACCTAGGTAATAATAATGTACAACTTTATCTAGTTCATTGAAGAATTCGTTTACGACAAACAAAAAAAAAACCAAAAATGTTATATATAATTATTTGTTTTATTTATGACAATAAATAATTTTCCACCCTATCGATCAATTTGTTTAATTAAATAACATGTCACGAGTAAGTACAACAGTCCTTGAAGTGAGGATCGAAGCAGGTCAAGTCATTAAACAGGTAAGTACACCAAGTTAACCAATATACCAAGCATATTAGGGAACTATTAACAATAAAACGTACATTATTGATAATTCTTTCAGATTCCAGTGAATTACTTTACATAATCACAAAATATAAGAAACACAGGGCTACAGCCAAAATCCCGGAGCACCTAAACACAGGCACGCACGCGCCACATATGTGTGAACGCGATTTATGCAAACGTTTCAAACATATTTTAAACTTACTGATGGCTGAGCAGTATCAAAGTTCAATAGAAATAAATTCAGTTTTCGCAGCGTAGTTTATGTTCACGTGCACTAGTTTTCTAAGTGTATCTCTATATAACCCCGTCTATCAGATATACAACTGTTCTATATCAAAAAGTGTACCAAAAAGCAGTAATAAGGTTTTAGAAAGTTACCACATAATGGCGCTCGTGCATTAGAAGGGAAAAATTCAATGATATAGTCATATAGATTGCTCATCCATATGTAAATTCATACGACAAAAAGCGAGGCCCCACTAAAAGGCATTATTACACGCAGGCAACTAGTAAAGCAGTTTTGCGAATGGCATTGTCGGGTATGCTGGCAAAACAAGTCGTCAAACTCAAATAGAAAAATGAAGCAAGATTACTTTACGACCCAAAGAAAAAAATAAGTTTTGCCTATAGTTTTTATTTATACTGTATTTTTTGTTTATGTACTTGTATTTTGAAAAGACCCACAATCCTAGCAAGTTTCTTGCAATTTCTTTTTTTTTATTTTTCTCATTTTTCCGTAATTTTTTGCGAGGCAAACCGCGACGGCTCCAGGTCGCATAGGCATAAATTAATAATTTACCTAAAATGTCCCATCGGGAGACAACTCGACCTTATTGAAATACATATTTAGTGCAAATTTATCACAATTCTTTAATCTCAATGAATATAAATAACCGTTTAGCTCTAAAATATTTTTAAATTAACAGTAATGTAAGGATAAAATTTGTTAAACGAGGTAGCTATCGTTTGAGATTATCGAAAAATTTGCCATTAGTTCCTAATTTTTATAGTCCCTGAGTTTGGTTTCCTCGGTAGTAGGGATTAGACAGACACTTGCATGGTGTCGTTTGATTTTTTAATATTTTACTATCTTTAATGTTGATTTTCGATACAGGTATTGTCCTTTCGATCTATTGTCTGTTCGATAAAATATATCTTTGATCAAATGTATTTTCGATTAAATGCCATTCGATATAAAATGTATTTTCGATCAAGTTTCCAATTCGATCAATTTTGTGCCACCCATGTCGAATACCCTGCTATGGATGTATAAAGCAGTATACGATTTGCTGAATTCCCCTCATTTTGTCACGATTTGGGAATCTTACTTTCTAAAACAATAAAAAAAGAACCACCTAGATTCTAGAATGTAAACAATATATTCTCAAATATCAAAAACAACAAAAAAATGCTACATAAATAATAGTTTAACCATATAATAATATTTGAAATAATGAATAATATAGAACTTTCATTCCAAATAATAAAAATACAAGAGTATAGAAAATGCTTTAACTTATTTTAAACAAAAAACACATTCCAGTTTACTTAAATTAAATCTTCGAACGAAATATAGGTATATGCTCGAAGAATTAAATATTAAGTTTACAATAAAAAGTACAATAAAATAAAAAAATAATTCAAACGAAAAATGTAGAGAAATATTGTATATAAATGTTTTACTAATAAAAGAATGTTCTGCTGAACCATACAGTGTTGCAAAAGTCTAGAAACATCTATATCTGTTTTCCGAAACTTAAAAAAATTTGGTAAGCATTTGTGGGTTTTACACCAGTAAACGATATTCTGTCACAGAACTAAAGAATGAAAATGAATTTGACAGTTTAAAAAATGCTTCTACTGGACGATAGCTGTCAGTAGTTTGTGTAACAAGAGTGGATAAGATGACCATAGCAACGCCGTATGCGGAGTTCTCATTCATCTGAATGCGATACAAACGCACAAGTTGTATAGTATATTTTTTCTACGAAAAAGAAAATACGAATATTCTATGAATTTTATTTATAGATTTTTCATTAGAATCACTCACTTTTAATACGCATTTACCTTTAATAACTAACAATTAGTTTTACAGATTCGTTACTAATTTTAGATTTAAAAAAAAATATTTGCCGGTTACTATACAAATATAGTACCTGATGCATGAGTTCGCAAATGTCATTTTGTTTTTGAGTTTGATAGTAATGGTAGGGGAGCCAGTGACATTTTGAAGTGTGTTATTTGTGAAAGGTAAAACGTTATTACAAATATAATCGTTCATTCGTACCTTGTAGAACATGGAAATAGTTTGATACGCAGCGATAAAGCCCTCGACGATGACGTTTTAGAAAAGCCTGCGTAGAAAATTATGTCATAGAAGCGCAAACTTAAAACTTTTAGATATTATTGAAAGATCAAACGAACTTACCTGAAGTGAAGTTCGATCTCAGTTATATGAAACGCCTTGTTCGAGATGATCATAGGTAGTACCAGAGATAACGAGGAGATGTAACTACTAACAAATATTAGTGCGGTACTGAATAAGACATATTCTAAGGGACACAGACGGGTATAATATCCGCTGTTGTCATATGCCTATTTCATTATTCTCGT